ACATCTAAAACCACCAAATCGAATATTGAATGTTTTGCGAAACTTAATTTAATTTAAAATCAAACCTCCTCTTTTAACACCTCTTTGTTGCCTGAGTAAATAGGCCACCTTCTCCTTATAATATTCTTCGAGCTCGGACATTTGATTGCCGTATTTCTCGTCCAAGGATTTAAGGTTCGCTTCGTACATTTTTTTGTGTTCCCTAACCTAAAAAAATAATCGCATTTTTGTATACTTTCAAGCAACAACCAATCCGCAAAGCAAACTTAATTTTTTTTTACAAAAAATTTTGACAAAATTTGATTATTATTATTATTATATTTACATTTTCTAAATGTCATTTAGTGGTGAAATTTAAGTTTATGAACTATGAATGAATCATAAAAAAGTAGGCAAATGGAACTTGCAAAAAATAAAATAAAAAAATGTAACCTGATCTTGCATTTCGGTGATCTTGAAGTCCTTCTGGACAGATTGCCTTTTAATTTGTGCACACTGATCCCAGAGAAAGCTGGCGATCGCCTTGGCCTCGGCCATCGTCTGGATGTTGTCGAAGAGCGCCTTGGCCTTGGCCTCCTCGTCAGACTCGAGGATCCTCTGCTGGAAGTCCTGGATCTCCTCCTCGTCCCCCAAACAACTGATTACGTTTCCAAGCACCATAAGTCCCTTAAACGTGTTACCGACAGCACCAGTCTTTTTTGGTCGCTCAGAACCTGCTAAATCGACCAAATGCAACTTTGCTGTCTTATTATTGGCCCTAAAAAAAATACTCAATGTTCACACAATGTTCACAAAAACTTGTAAACTCAAAACTTACGGATCATCTTTGCGCTGCATTGTTAATTTTAAAGTAAATATTGCATTACTTCTTGAACTTTGAGAGTTCATGTTGGTGGAAGCAGTGGCCCTGCCTGCAGAACCTCTTGATAAAATTTCCAAAACTTCATTGGCACTCGTTACTTGTATTTCAGTCATATTGGGAATATGGATCCCTTTCTGGGTATCTTCCCTTATCTCCAACACACATTGATCCCTTGGCTTCCCAGACAACAAATCATATAATACTTCCTGATATAACTCGATAAACGATACTTGTACAGTGAAATCAATGGCAAAATTGTCCTGTATATGATTAAATATATCACTTATGGCTCTGGGAATCACCCCCTCCCTTTTATAAGCTGTCCCCATAGAGTACGTTTTACCTGAAAGCGTAAAAGCCCATTATAATAATAATAATTTATTGAACCAGATGAATAGGGATACATTTTATGAATGGGATATTACATAAAATCTGCAAGAGGTTTATTAAACCTGTGCGCAGACCTAGTTTAAATTACAAACTAAATAATACTTATATATAAACTAAATGAGTAGAAAATGCTTACAAAAGCTGTTTTTTGTACGATAAACGGTTCCGGAGATATTCGAAAAAAACGATTTTTTTTCTAATACTTCAACTCGTAATAGCGACTTTTTTCATCTTTTTGGATGAGCTATCAGATCCTGAATTCCTGCGCATATATTATGAAACACCCTGTATAACATTATTTTTAGAAAATGGGACAAAATTTTAATTTATTAATTATAATTATAATCTATAGATTGACACTGACAAAAAATTAACCTTAATTATTTCACAAGCATAGCACATATATAGGGGTTGACAGCAGGGCAGAGTAGTATAGTAGTTGTATTACCTGATCCAGTTTGTCCATAGGCTAAAATAGTCATGTTGTATCCCTTAAATAAGTTCTTTATGGTGTCTTTTACGCAGCAATTATAAAACTCTTCTTGTGTTGACTGTGCATCGAATACATAATTAAAAGTGGCGTCTATAGACATCTAAAAGCCGTTTTTTTTATAAGATAAGAAATTAAATACAAAAAATATACTTACTTTGGTCAAAAATAAATAAAAACAATCAAAATTACGACACGAAACAAAAATTAAAATACTCTTAAATGAATAAATTCAAGAAGTAGGTAATAGCCAAATCACGCTCTAACACAGAATGACGGTTGAATGGAATTAATGGTACGTTGCAAATTTTTTTGAAAACTAGAGTGGTAAAAACCATGTAGGCTTTATGATAAAAACGTTCGTTGTTATATTTAATGTAAAAAAACATAAAAAAACGTTTAATTTATTGTCGTATATTCGTATGTTATTAAAACTTCCAGTACACTTGTAAAATTTATATTTATAATAACTTATAATTGAACATCACGAACAGGGCCGGATTTAAACTTAGTGCCGCCCCTGTGCACTGTTGAAAATGCCGCCTCAACAGTAAAATTTTATATAAAGTTATAATTTGAATATCTTATTTTTTTTATTTTTAACATAAAAAATATTCTTTCTGTTCTAAGAATTATAAATTTTGCACTAAGGGCGACTCATAATTGTATTTCGTTAATTTTTTTCACAGTCAAACACGCCTTACTTTTTAAATTGCAAATTGGTCGATTAAATAAATCTTCACAATCTAAACGTTGAAGTACGTCTGATTCGATGCATAGAGTATATAGCTATATATATACCTATTATAACCTTTATAATTTAAAATTTGACCTTTAACGGTGACACCCAGATTCCCCTATTGTTTCATAGATGGCGCTCTATACAAATTTTTGATTTAAATCATTTTAAGCTCGCTCGTGCCTAAATTAAATTCGTGTATAAAATGGCGTTTATCAAACTTGATACAATGTATGTCATAATATACTATTATCAACCACAATTTTAATAAGAGTTTTATAAAAGTTGAGGGATATATCAAGGAAAATGCTCTTTTTAAAGTGAGGTTAAAAGATTTTTCGTAAAATCCTTTTTAAAAGGTTACGAGGCTTTTATAAATTAATCCCGGCGCATTCGCCATTTTTTTGCGAAAACGACAATTTTGAAAATTTTAGCTTACCAATTAAATACATATTTGTATATTGAAAAGTATTCCCTGAAAATTTCATTAAGATTAAAGCAAAATTTTAAAAAATATACGTTTTTAAAAAATTAATTTGTAATTTTTTACATAAAAAATTTTATCAACCACAATTTTAATAGGACTTTTATAAAAGTTGAGGGATATATAAAAAAATGCTCTTTTTAAAGTAACGTTAACAGATTTATCGTAAAATACTTTTTAAAAGGTTCCGAGGCTTTTATAAATTAATCCCGGCGCATTCGCCATTTTTGCGAAAACAAAAGTAACGTACTTTTTTTAAATTTTACGAGGATTTTATAAATTAATCCCGCCATTTTTTTCAAAAAACAACATTATTAAAATTTTCACCATGCCAATTAAATTAATTAAATATCCGTATTTTCAAAAGTATACCCTAAAAATTGTATTAAGATTAAAGCAAAATTGTGAAAAATATAAATCTCACGTCAACTTTTGAGTTTAGAAAATATGTATTATACCTAATTCAAATTTGTTTAAAAAAAAATCATTTTTTTTATATGTTGTCCGCAAAGAAATGGCTAAAATCTCACGTGAGGGATGGGGGGATCTACCACATCTCACCAAGGGAGAGGGGGTCCAAATTATAATTATCAGAAAAATGCCTCACGTAATTAATGGATGTCCCCTTACTACAATCTTTAACAAGCGTTAAACAATTATTTTTATGTTGATAATCTGTAAATACTTAAATTAAGATTTTCTTTATCTGACTGTACCTATGTAAGTATAGTAAAACATAAAATCACTTAAAAATGATCATTACTTACTAAAAAATATTTAAAAATCACTTACTACTTTGTTGCTGATTGCCTAGTTAATCAGTCCCGTACTGGACCTACCTGTAACAAATAAAAAACATTAAAAAACAACTCAAATACCAAAGCAAAATCACAATTTTTACCTTTAAAGCCCTTTCCCTGTCACCATCGTTGTTATTGCATCTCCAGACGAAAAAAAGTTCACTCACGCACTAAAATATCGCACCGAAACTCACAAAAGTCAATTAGGTATACCTATCTGCATTTTTATCAAAAGGACGCCAAGCCAAGCACTTTGCCGATCGTTTTGCAATAGACCTATCCCATAAAACAGACTTTTGGATAGCGCGTGCCTGAAGAAGAGTGGTATCTCTTTCTCTTTTATATAATTAAAAAAAGACGACGTGCCTTTTCACGCACGCGCTATCCAAAAGTCCGTTTTATGGGATAGGTCTATTATGACTGCCAAAGTGACAAAAGCGAATCGCCGGCCGGGCATGCGCGGTGGCTCTGTCAAAGATGACACGATTTAAAACAAATGCTTCTGAAACTTGGACCTTATAATGTTATATTACTTTAATATTATTTTATCGATTGCAGTTTTATACGACAATTACCTACACGAAAGATTTTGTTTTATATTGTCTTCACACTGTAACAAATAAAAAACATTAAAAAACAACTCAAACAAGCAAAATCACAATTTTTACATTTAAAGCCCTTTCCCTGTCACCATCGTTGTTATTGCATCTCCACACGAAAAAAAGGTCACTCACGCACTAAAATATCGCACCGAAATACAAAAAACTGCAATAATATACTCATTTTATCAAAAGGACGCCTAGCATGTCAAATTACCGGTCGTTTTGCTATTATGGCTGCCAAAGTGACAAAAGCGAATCGCCTGTCAAAGATGACACGATTATACCTACAAAAAAATGCTGCTGAAACTTTATATTGTTATATTATTTTAATATTATTTTATCGATTACAGTTTTATACGACAATTAAGTACCCATGTATAAATACAAATACCTACCTATGTAAAGATGAATTCTTTCTTAAAAATGCATTGCTGTGTTCTGGTTAGATCTTGTTATGTTATCCTTAACATATTGGTCCTACAATACAATACAATAAAAAAGTAAAAAGTCCATTTGAGGAATTTTTTCAATATTCAAAGAAATTCAATCCTCGGAGGTATGCAACTCCTGTTATGGCAATGTTATTTGATTGCCTAAGATACAGGTCAAATATAGCTTGCGCGGTAAAAAAACATAACCTCAAAGAAAAACAAACAGATTTCGCAATGTTATAGGAGTACTATAATAAAACAGTTTTTTGGCGGATAAAGCGAAAGAATTTTTCTTAGTGAACAAAAGAGAATTTTCGGGATGAGCACGATAAATATACGGGGCGTTGCCGTGGAATTCCCCTTCGAACCGTACGAGTTACAGAGAGAATTCATGGACAAGGTGATTGAATGCCTGCAAAACGAAACAAATGGCGTTCTGGAGTCGCCCACTGAGACCTGTCGTTGCTGTGCTCGACTTTGGGCTGGTTGCAGTTAAAGAAAGCGCAAATTCAGGCGCAGAGAATAAACAGTATTGTGGAAGAGAAGCAGGGTTTCATGGGGAATCTGCTGAAAGAACTGACTGGAAAAGTGGATAAAGGGACGGTAAATAACGCAGAAAACAGCAGACGGGCCTTCATGGGCTTACCGACCATCATATACGCCTCAAGAATGCATACTCAGTTATCACAGGCAATGAATGAACTTAAAGGTAGTGCATACAAGCACATGAAGGCTTGCATTATATGATCAAGGGAGCAAATGTGCATACATCCAGAAGTGATGAAGGAACAGAGCAATTCTGCCAGAGTAAATATTTATTTAATGATAAATTATTCAAAATTCAAATTAAATATTTTTTGTAGACCCAGATGTGCCGTTTGAAAGTGAAAACGCGTAGTTGCCATTTCCACAACCGCGTGGAACGTAAGAAAGAAGACCCTGCTGTCTCAGAGAGTCTGGTGATGGACATGGAAGACCTGGTAAAACTGGGCAATCTGCACAAATTCTGTCCGTATTACATGGCTCGGGAAATCCAAAAGGAGGCAGATATCATTTTCATGCCCTACAACTACCTGTTGGACCCCAAGGTCAGAAAAAGTCTCGGCATTGTTTTGAGCAACAATGTTGTCATACTGGATGAAGCCCACAACATTGAAAGGTACATTTTAGGTTATTTTTTGTGACATTTAAAATGTAATTTTTGACATGTGTCAACTGTCATTTTTTGTTGATCACTTGTGACCATCAAGCCTACACAAGGACACCAAGCTTCACGTATACAAAAAAATTTCTAAGATAAGAGGGTTGATTGTTTGATTTGTACTGAAATGCTACCAAAACAGAACACATCATTACTTATCAACAATGGTAGAAAACAAGGCCCAATTTGTGCAATTTAGTGGGCAGCTTTTGTCAATTTCCTCTATTGGACTCCTTCTGTAGGCTCCATGACTTGTGCAAATTGAAAACTTGAATTTTCCCTAAAGGTGGCAGCTAAAAACCCCAAAATACCCCCATTAGAAAATCGCGCGTCAATTGTCAATTTTTACTGTTAAATACACACTGATACAAATGTCTAGAAAGTTCTGCCAACTTTTTACGAAAAAAACAATGTTTCATCTTGGTTGCCTAATCTCAGAATCCAAAATACCCCTCCAGGGGAATCTTGACAAGTAAAAATCACCAAAAAATCCTTTTGTTTTTTATCGTTATGTTTTTGTTATGTACTACATAAACAATAATTTAGGTAATACTAGCGAGATTTATACGGAAAAGATGTATTTTTTTAAATGCAATCACGAAAAAATGTACATTTGTGTAAATTGTAGGTAATTTGTTAAATTTAGCAATGGTACAACTGTTATATTATTAAATTTGTTGAAGGATTTTTTTTAAATTTTAATAAATATTTACAATACATTCTTACTGTTTTATTTTTTGTTTCCCTTGTTTACCATACAAAAATGAAATCTGACAACGTTGTAAAATGCAATGTTGCCAGATTTCTGAAAAATCCCAGATCCTGGTACTTTTTAAAATTTTGCGATTTTCGGATTTTTATTAGGATAGCAGAAAAGCGAGGACTACTACTTTGTTTTCTTTGTGAAATATCATATAATGTACAGACATGTACGAGCAGATTATGAAATTCGGCGCTTACATCGAGAGATGGAGTTTTGAAGCCCGAAGGCATCGTCAAGATCAGGAAGAAGGATTTGCTGAAGGTGATCCACAGGCTAAACCCAATTAGGAAATAAATAAAATATAATCTGTGATAACACATTTTATTTACAAAAACAATTTATCAAAAATCCTGTGCCTACTGCCACAGGATATCTAAACAACATCTATCGTTTTTGGTCACCTAAATCCTCAATTAGATCCTCATCAATCTAGAAAAAAAAGCATAGGTATTCAATTAACATATAAAAATATTGTATATTATTTACCTCTGGCCATTTTTCTGGAATAACATCAAACAAATCATCCTTGACATCTCCTTGAATTACAATTTCATCATCTCCAGTGACAGAAGAACCACATGCAAATCTGGTACCGAAAAACTTGGCTGCCACTTTTAAATCGATATCTAAATAAAATTTATTAGACACAAGGTAAAGTTAAATTTTGATTATCTACCAAAGCTACTGAGTCCTGTAACCACAGTGACGGACTTCTTCTTGCCTCTGGGGGCTCTGGAAACGCACACTTGCTTAGGCCCATCCTCCTTCTTTTTGGTTTTAATCATGCCCTTTCCGCCCCGTTTCTGCCTCTTTTTTTCCTCTTCCACCGAACCACCGTCGTCGCCGATTTTCACCTTCTCGAACTCTGAAGGCAAGTTTCTCTCCAACCATTGCTTGCACTTGTCGTATTCCGGGTAATATTCGCAATACTACAACAAGTAAGGTTCTTCAAATGAATTTTTAAATATCATTTTACCTCAATCGGCATCGAACAGTTGCCGCAATACGCAAGCGACAACGGGTAGGTGACCCCTTCGCGTGGACCTTGCTGTAATTTCTCCAAAACAGACATTTTCCTTTAAATTTAACAAATTAAGCTGCTATTTCCATCCAACTTAACCTATACATTCACTGTCAAACCCTGGATCGCCTCCTATTAAAGAAACCTGTGTTTAGTTTACGAGTTGACTATTAGATGGCGCCACAAAAACGCTTAATCACATACCTACTTCCACAGAAGTATGTGCGCTTAATTTTTCACAACACTCATTTATTTAAGTAGGGATTGTTCGGTATTTAATAATGGAGTGTAGCTCGGAATTAATTATAAATGAAATTTTCGTCGTTAATTATTCAAATAGATTTTGAGGTTAACCAACGACCTTCATACGGTACGGTCTGATTTTCCTTATAAAACATTTCACCGCTATTTTATTTATTGTAAATTATAAAAACCACAATATTACCATTATTACTTACACTGGTACTTGTTTTAATATTGGTCTTTTTAATTGATTTAAAATTCCTACCTACAATAATGGCAATTTGATACTTACGAGCATGCGTAACTGTTTATAAAACCAATTTGCTTTACAAATCGTAGGAAGCCTATAAATAATGGATGAAACATCGTTGGGCAGTAGCTTATTAGCTAGCTGCTAGCCATGAAAAGAGAAGAAGGATTCTTCGTATAACCTACTTGATCGCGAGTGCATTACCCCACGGAACGACGACCGGTGCCGGTGAGTCGGTCGAAGGTAAATCATAAAAGAAAGTGGAAGTTAAATACGTCCTTTCTCATCATCTCATCCTTGAAAAATTTGGGTTCCCGGCACCCGCGAGCTTGCTTGATTTGACAAATACATTCCTACCTACCAAATGTTTTCCATGTTTCTCGATTTTTAGATGAAAGTATTCGTATAATTTAGTAATTCCAAGACGCCATTAACATTGTCTTATAACGTCGCTAATAATATTTATAGAATTACTTGTAGAAAATAGAAAGTAGCTATTTAAAAATGTAAATGAAATTCAGGTATTGGCCCCGTGTGCTGTGATTAAACAAAATACCTATCCACTTAAATTTCCTACGAAAACTAGAAGAATTTATTTCTTTAATGAATTCTTGCAAATTGGTTGATTGGTTGCTTGCTTGGGTCTTTCTTTTCACCTACTGACCCTAAAAAAATTAACCCACTGATTTTTTTTTATAAAATTGGTACAACTTTAAAATATACTTTTTTAACACAAATAAACAATACAAACACAATAACGAAATTAAAGCAAGATTTTTTACTGCAGTAGAAATTATTAGGTATTTGGACTTTCTTTCAATATTTGCATTTTACATTATTTTTAGCATCTTAAAAGTACCTATTTATTTAATAGGTACCACCTACCTACTCAGTATATAATACTTATAGCCTTATAAGGCTAATTATCATGTAGGTAATCATTTCGTTTTTATTTTGAACTAGTTTCGGTTTTCGTGTGTGAAACACTTTTACACTTCCGTTTTACTTTTTCGCATTTTTTCCGAAATATTTCATGACCCGAAAAGAATGCACGAAAAATCGATCTTTACATACACTGCGCGTCAAAATTAACGAATAAATAAAACGCCCAATCTTTATAAAATTTTGTATAAAAATAGTTCAACTTATATCTGGGTGAATACCTATATTGATATGTCCCCCAAGTAAAAATGATTATTTTTTATTTTTGGTTGTTTCATTGTTAGTCTAGAATGGGGTTTTTGGGAAGCCACCAGGTCTAGTAATAACATAACATAAGTGGTTCTGCACTAATGCAAGAATTTTAGAAACATACATTTTGTATATTAGAGCTTAACGGAGGTTAAGATTTCGTATGCTTTTTTTTTAAATATCCCTTTGTATATTTGAAATAAGTTATTTCATCTATTAACGCCTTAATATTTTTTAAAATACAATTGTACATACATAAAATATTTATAAAAAAAAACTACTTACTGAGATATTACACTTCACGGTGGATAGGTTTTTAAATGGCAAATTAATGAACTTTTAAATTATAAAACAGCAACACTCTCATCTGCATATAAATTCTAACTGACCTTTAGGAATCACATGCATCTATAATGTCGTAAACAGAGGTTTTTGCTTATTTAAAATGATTAAAGCACCATCCGTTGCATAAAATTTAAAGCAAAAACAGATTCACGGGGGATAAAATCAATTTTTGTAACACCTACATAAATGGTTATAAAAATTATTTATTTTAATTTTTAATAATATTTTATATTTGATTCGATTGCGTTTGAATCGACACGAGTCCAAATAAATAAAAAATTAACCGTAGTTATTTTGAGTAGAAGGTGATAGGTTTTTTTTAAATAAAATTTAAATAAATTGATTTTTTAACAATTTCGCAAAAATTGTCATATAAGAAATTGTAAGAGTAAAAATCGGAAAATCTGAAAACAAATTTGAATACCTACCTACCTAATTTTTAAATAAATTTTGACTGGATTGATTGAATTCATATGAATGATCGAAATAAGGAATAAACAAGCACCCAAAGAAGAAACTGAAGAATGAACGAAGAAGCAAGCAGGAGGAGCGGTGACGTCAACGCGGCTATAAGAACAAATGAGCGTTCGATGCAGGAGCATTTGTTCGTGTTCGATACAACGGAAAAGTGGATTGCAAGACTCCAAAAGGACGACGTGAATTTAATTTTTTTTAAATTTATTTGTGGTGAATCAGTTAAGTGTCTTCGCAAGTGACCTACAAAGCGGTAAGTTGATGTTTGTTTGTTTGTTTGTTAACAACAAGTTAAGAACAACGATTTAAAAGTGTGACAGATCCTGCTTCATACTAGTCCATCTAGTGCGTAGTGTGCATATTTCCTTTTTTTCGAAAATTAACGCATAAGGGTAAGTTGGCAGTTGATTTCCGGATTATTAATGAAATAATGGTTGATATTGTCCAAGTGTTATAAGGTCAATGTATGAGCGCTGCAAATTAACTGTAAAAATAAATAAACAGTTAATGGTGGATATGTAGGTACCTATAGCTAACGCAGTTGGGTGAAATATTTGTAATTATTTTTGCAGAACCATGAGGTTGCACGTGTTGGGGACACTTTTGTGTCTCTTGTTCGTCGGCATCAGATCGAACCCCATACAAACGATAATCGTTGCTGACGATGTCTCGGTCGGAAGATCGATCATCGATGACGTAGAGAAATCCGGACTCGACCAGGAAGCCACCACGGGGGTGTTCGAAAAACCGGAAAAAACCGAACAAGTGGTAGAAAAAGAAGAGCCGATGGAAACTTCTGCGAAGAAAGAGATCGTCGCTGTGGTGAAAGAAGAAAAATTGCCCAAGCAAAAAATCAAAGTAACCGGAAGACAATCGTCGGACGATGATGATGACGACGACGATGACGACGACGTCGACATCGGTTTGGGAGACGACGACGACGACGATGACGACGACGATTCCGAGACTGAAAGTAATTTTTCGGAATTTCAAATTTCTGCTTACCTATAAACAACTTTTAATTTCCAGCCGCTTCGGACGATGATGACGACGATGATGACGAGGGCGATTACTTCGAGAGACTTTTCGATGACATTTTAGGAGGTAAGAGTCCAACTTTTTTTACTACATTTTATAACACAGTTCAACGATTTTCCTCCCTTAAAAAATTTTAACACCGTTTCACGAAATTACATCTTTTATAATAAACAAAATTTAAAGAAAAAAAAAATGATTTATAACAAAAAGGAGAATTAAAAATCTGTATAGGTTAAAATAATAATATAATATTTTTTTTTTAAATTTTGTATGTTTTTAAATAATACCAAAATTACAGAAAGAAAATAATAATTTTGATTTTTTTAAATGAAAAAAATAATTTGTTTTTAATTTCCCTATACCTAAAGTTAATTATTTCAGAGATATTTAACAATTTAACCTTTAGGTATAGGTCATGGTATAGTAATTTTACTCTGAATTTTATGTAGAATTTAAAAATAACAAAATCGATGTCACTTCCGGTCAAACCGGAAATGAATTTTTTGACGGGAAGTGGAATTTTATTGACCGGAGAGACCTTATGAGAGGAAAAACAGTAGTTAGTTGGTGACAATCGATCTGTTTTATTTTTTAAAGACGACGACGACGATGACGACGACGACGACGTGTCTCCATCTAGCGGATCTCAGGTGCAAACGCAAGCAGCTGCCGCCGCACCGGAAGTGGCCGCAGCCGCCGTTCAGACGCCCGTGGAAGAGTTGGACGCGGCCGAGGAGGCAGCAGGAGAATCCGAAGGTTCCGTTGACGGTACGCAAGCGCAATCAGCCGACGAACAACAACAACAGACAGACCTTACGTCAGACACCGTAATTGACAAAGACCCTACCGACGACAACAACGTTTTGTCGGCGGCCGACTCGGTGGCTCAACCGGTGGTCGTCGAGCCCGTTCCCGCGAACGACTCGACTCAAAACGACGACGACGATGACGACGACGACGACGACGACGATCTTGCCGGCTTGAGTGACGATGACGACGACGAGGACGATGATGACGAAGCCGCCGACGACGACGACGATGATGACGAGGATGACGACGACGAGGCCGATCTGGAAGATGTGATCGAGGCGAGGCGAGCACGTGAGTCCAAACATTTAAAACACATTAAGAAAGCAAAACAGTCTAGGAAACACCACCACCACCACCACCATCATCATACTAAAGCTTCCCTAAACAAAGTGAGATAGGTAGTTTGTTAGTGTTTATTCTGGAGGACTTTTAAACATACATGATGCATTCCTTTGCTATGTACAAAACTCTTAAAAAACTAAACACTTTGGCTCTGTTTCTTTAGTCAGCAGCTTGTAGACTTTTTTATTTATTTCTTGTAATATTATTTAATAATTTATCTAATTTATTTATTTATTACGATAATGCATTTGCATTCAACTAGGTACATGTCACACCTACAGTGACTTAACTTTTCAAACTCGATTATTGAAATTTAATTGATTAAATAATTAATAATGTATGATGACGCTGTACAAAT